CTTCATCGATTAGCAAAATAGATGATAGGGTGCTCTTGTGAGGTGCACTGGTGAATTAGTTTAGTTAACATTCTCTAAAGTTCTCGCGCTGGTGCAATACTCTGTCGATTGTCTGCCGCATGTGAGAATCAGGCTGGTTTTACACCTGGCTGAGGTTGAATAGTCCATATTTTCACCCTTTGTCGAATTCTGGAGCACCGACATTCTCTTCGGAAACTCATCTCTGAAGGCATCCTTGGACTCAGTTGACCGCTCTATGTCTTGGCGCTGCCTTTCTGGAGAGTGTGTCCGAGAAGTTTATTTCAGTATTGCAATCGTTTTATGCTATTAGTCGGAACCGAGTTCGAACTTACAGTACCTTTTCGCTCGGGTTCACTTTGGAAAGTGATATTCGTCAGGGTTATCTTCTCTGTTGTTTTCTACCTAACTTTGTTATAGATTTGATTTTGGGAACAACCGTGCCCTCGTGCGAGGACGGTATTATTGATTTACTCCTAAATGACAGACTCTCTGATTTGAAGTTTTCAGACGACGTTGTACTGCCAAATGAAGATCCAGGTAAGTTGCCAGCTTTCCTGATTGACTTGCTGGTGTAGCGAATTTCGGCCTTTATTTCGCACCTTCAAGATGTAAATGTAGCTACAAAAATGGTTAGGTCCAGCTCTCAACGTCACGGTAATTGAGGAAGTAGATAATTCTGCTATCCGGGAAGCCACTCGGTGGACGCATCACGGGTGGAGTGTCAGCTCAAAAATAAAAGGCTCGTTTGACATTTTCCAACTTGAGAAATCTGTGGTGCCGTCGCGAAATCCGGCTGTCTGTGAAGGGTAATAGTCGGCCATAGTCGCAATCTTTTCCGATTAATTAGGAGTACAGGTCCAAGGAAAGCAGGCATGAGGTAATTAATGAGTCCGGCGGCACACTGATCCATATTCAGCAACGCCGTCTAGATCAATGGGTAGAACATTTTATGGCTCAGTTCAGCTGACCCTCGTCAGCACAAGACCTCCCTACACCCGATTCAACTGTGCAACTACTGCCAGTTGACATCAGTCCTCCATCTGAAACCGAGTTTACCCGAGAAATAAGCTATCTCAAAAGGTATAAGGCCTCCGGTCCCGACGAACTGTCCCCATCGGTTTTTAAAGATGGAGGTCTTGGTTTTGGAGTTAACAATAATCCTGGGTTCAGTGTGGGAAAAGGAACAGGTTCCACGTGAATCGGTGATCATACCGATTTACAAGAACGGCGACGGGTCCTCTTGTGAAAACCACCGAGGAATTAGTTTAATCAACATTGCCTCTAGACTTCTCTCTGGCGTCATACTCCGTCGATTGTCTGCCGCACCTGAACGGTGCGCACATCAGAACCAGGCTGGTTTTAGACCTGGTCGAGGTTGTATCAACCGTATCTTTACTCTTCGTCAAATTCTGGAGCACAGACACTTTTCATAAACCCACCATTTCCATCTTCCTCGAGCTGAAAGCGGCTTTCGACTCAGTCGACCGCTCTAAACTCTGGCACGGCCTTTCTCTGAAGGGTGTGTCCGAGAAGTTAATTTCAATATTACAATCCCTCTATAATAATAGCCGAAGTCGAGTCCGAGCTTACGGCACGTTTTCACCCAAGTCCACTACAGATATTGGTATTCGACAGGGTTGCACTATGTCTCTCCGATCCGANTAGATTTAATTTTTGAAACAACCCTATCCTCGTGCGGGGATAGCGGCGTTGATTTACTTCCAGTTTGCGGACTGTCTGATCTAGAGTACGCAGACGACATTGTGCTGCTAAGTGAAGATTCAGGTAAGTTGCAAGCTTTTCTGGATAGTTTGAGTGCTAATGTAGTGATGTTGGCATCCGCTTTGCACCTTCAAAGTGTTAAATGCTGCTCCAAGATTGGGTTGGCCCAGTCCCTAGCCTCACCCTGACCGGGGGATTCGTAGAGAAATTAGACAAGTTTTGTTATCTGGGTAGCTATATCTCACCTGGCGGACGCATCACAGATGAAGTGTCGGCGCGCATACAGAAAGTTCGGTTGGCATTTGCCAACTTGAGACATCTGTGGCGCCGTCGCAACATTCGGCTGTCTGTGAAGGACCGAGTGTATGCTGCGGCAGTTCGGCTAGTTCTGCTAAATGGCGCAGAGACTTGACCATTAAGAAAACAAGATAAAGGTAGACTGTCGGTGTTCGAACACCGCTATCTACCTCGCATTACACGAATCTGGTGGGGAAACCGGACGAGCAATGCTGAGGTTAGGCGTAGAGTTTTAGGCAGTCGCGGTCGTCCACTAGAACAGGTAGTCGACCTCCATAGATTACGTTGGTTGGAACATTTGCTACGCATGTCACCAGATAGGTTGCCACGGCGAGCGATGCTTGGTAGCGGTTTGAAAAAAGTGCTGGGCGGTCAAGCTGAGACCTGGTATGAGGGTATGAAAACCCTAACCAGGAGACTGGCTCACATAGGTCACGTTAGGCTCCCTGGCTGGGGACCCAGAGATCATGGTCACCAATGGTTAGAGACACTGAGCGATATGCTGCTACTGGGTGTCGCAAACAGTGGCGCTCACTTATCTACTCATTCTTGTAACTGCAGTCTATGAAAATGTGCTAGTCAAACTAAGACCTGTCACAAGGGCATGCAAACCGCGCCCAGGAAATTTGTTCAAGGAATTCGCGCAAGGCTTCTCGGATTGACGCATCTGGATCAGCCTTATCGGTGATTAGATAATGATTCAACTGTTAGTCGTAATCGGTGGCGTTTTTACATCTGCTCAATGTTCTTTGTAACCTTAGTTACTATGAATCCTCTATCTTCATCTTGAAACTGATCCGACCATTGCTAACTCTCCTTTACGCTTTCATCTAACTGATCAATCCTTGGAAAGCAATCCAAATCGGCGCACGCCAGTGCATGATAAGCTTTGCAAAACTGATTGGAAACTTTCTCTGCCGCGTGTTGTAGCCCTTATCCTTGAATCTGCTCGGGTCATATGCGCATGTATTATACGCTTTCCCCTTTACCATTCATTTTCTTTTTCAGTGTAAATAGGCGTCAAGTATTTCTCCTGTCTCACCTGAACCAATTTTGTTTCATAAGAATTAGTAATTTTCAAACTGCATGAGAGTATTGGATGATTTGGTTTGATCGTATGTTAAATTTTGTCGTGCAAACAGCAAATGAAACGTGAACTGAAAAGCTAGGAAGCACTGGATGACTTCTTAGGTCTGGTTTGACCTCATCAGTAGTGCGAATCCGTCCACTCGACTGGGGGCTAAAACCCTGGATCTCACAGAAAGAACGCAGGCATACTACCCACTCGATCACCGGGCCGCTGATCAAACCATTTTTCATTTGCCCTACACATACCCCATAGCAAAACTCATCGCGGCAAGCTTAGTGCAAGTATCGTACCTTTCACATTAAGTGAACCACTGGCGATGGCGCTCTGTCCCGCCACACACACACACACACGTATTATGCCAGCTTTGGATCTGAGCAAGTGTATGTGTTCCTGGTTGTCTTTCCGCATCTGTCCGGGTCACAATGGCATCGTTTGGATCACGTGCGCTCAATTTCTCTCCACCTACCTCCCCCTCCCCCCCCGCTCAAATTGAGCTATGGTGTTATCCAAGCGTGTGAATCTATGTACTACAGCTAATCTGTTCTATACAACGGGAGTGTATTCCGATTGATTAGCCCCATGACCTATGTACTGATTAGCATAGACTCTTGTATGTGGGTATGTCAACAAACACTGACGCGACCTTTTGGCATTCGGCTCCGCTTGTCAGTAATCCGAATGCGGTTTACCGAAAAGCTATACGATCAAAGATGCGACTACCCCTCCGTCCCCTCGCAAAAATCGAATGTTCCAGATAAATAATTTACGGGTGCATATTTTGTTTCGGATTGCGCGCCATTATGCATACATATAACCTGCTGTACACCATTCAACTTCCGAGTACGAGTTTATTGAGGCACACAGCAGATTGCTTCGTACCTGGTACATTGCATAATGGTGTGTGTGTGTGATTATATTTTTATGCTGGTCGGAAGTTGTCGGGAACCAGATGCCTTGATTTACATGGAATTTGACGCGCTTTTTGCACTGGATATTGGTTACAAAGGTGTGAGTCCATTTCTGTACGGCTGTCTGCTGCGTTCGAAATTCTTCTCATTCAAACCAAAGTGAAATCGGATACTGTTCTGTATGTATAGTTATAATTCCATATTGCTCTCGGTTTGGCATAAAACGACGTGGTCAACTTTGGGCGTCAAATAATCGCGATTTGTGCTGTCTTGTATTATCATCGTCAGCATCACGCTCATTCTAACTACCAGATAGTAGCTGTGCGATGAAACAGACCTCGCACTCTCTCTCTCTCTGTGTAGTCCCTTCTCCAGCTCGTGCGTTGTTTGAAAGAGGAACAAAGAGAGAGAAAAAACAGTCGCACTTTTCCCCCGTACTTTCAAGCGACCCTGATTGACAAAAGTGCATCAACGATTCTCATATACGTGTGTGGTGCACGCCTCCATATGTGTTCACATTGCTACTCGTTCCACTCTCCTTGTAGTACTCACGCACACACCCACACATGAAATGTGTGAAGCACTTTCCATCTGCTTCTGTTTGTGTAACTCAATTGAGTTACTCCATCCGTCGTGCTCGACATTCGAGATGCACTGGAGTTGTACTTGGTTTGTCTATGATCCACCCCATCCCTGCTGTTTTGTTTTCCTTAGTATGTGTGGCAACCAATTATCAATGCGCCCGCCCAAGTAAACCAATCATCCAAATGTGTTCAATCGGTATGAATAGAACTAATTTGTAAACTGCCAGTTGGACGAAAAAAGCCGTCAATCTGAGTCACTCTTTTGTTTCACTTGTCATAGTCTGTTTATCAATCCGTCTCATTCGTCTCATTAGCATTATCTCTCTCTCTCTCTCTCTCCGTCTCTCTATTCCTATCTCTCCCATTCATCGCACTTGCATGTACGCGTGCACACAGGCCACTTATAATGAACTGGTGAACTCAGTGCTTCGAGTGGCCCATTTGCATTTGTATCGGGATCTGATTCGATTGTACGCGGTGTACAACGAGGCCATGATCAATCTGATCGGTAGGTTATCCTCCTCTCCCCCCCGCCCCGTATCGTGGCCACATCCATCCACCTGTCCGGTTTGCTGTTCATTCTGGTTCTTCTCTTTTGCTCAACTCAACCCATCGGTTGTCACCCCGGTGTGTGTGTGTGTGTGTCTGTCTGTCTATGGAAAGAGACCTACCGAGTGACTGAATAGTCAGAATCCGACACGTCAAACAACTGCGGAGGTGGTAGCGACTGTACGAATGGCACTCTTTAAGAGCAATTGAATTGACCATTGCATTCGGTCATCTATCTCACTGTCAGAATTGTAGATACGAAGAAGTTCGCGTTATGTATGTCTTGGTTAGTCTTTGTGAAGAAAAAAAATCTAAGTTAGTATGGGGCATGAAGTCATTATTGTTGAACCAACGGAGCGAAATTTCTTGAATTTCATGATACTTAAATCTGCTTACGTGATTGCAGTTTCGCTTCCGAAATCCCTGCCCCCCGTCCATCTTCACCTCTTTTTGTACATTTCACACGGGCTGTGCTTTGAAATGACTAATAACACTCAGTTTGAACAAGCGCGTGCGCGTATATACACCCCCCTCCCCCGGAAAAAAAAACGAATGTCCCTGTCGCAGACGATAGCATCCATTTCTGAAGCACAGATATCATCAAAACATAATGACAACTTGGAAAAGCTTCCTGTATTCATATATTGCATCTGTTAGTTGCGTTATATATGTTCCACTTCTCGTTTCAAAATCTAATCAGAAACAGATTTTGCAGGAGTTTACATGAGTGTTTGCTTGGTTACTAACTTCAAAATAGAACGGAAACTTCTTCCGGGGAAAATATTGTTTTTATATTTTTCGCCTGGTAAATGATTCCAAATCTCCTTGCGGATCTCATTCGCACACACAGACACACACATATCTACTTGCCAAAGTAACTAGACGACGAAATAACCACTGCCATTCACAGTACCCCCGTCCGCTCC